TGTCTCAAAGGGAGAAAAATGATCTTTGCACAGGAGTTAACAGGACTCATTGAAAGAGCTTTAAACTACATTTGAAGGAGGAAAAGGATAAAATCAGGCTCTCTACAGACAAGCTGGGGGAAGGGGGGAGGCATGTGACTGAGGGATGTTATGCTAGCGAGGTCCTTCACTCTACCATTTCAGTGGAAGTAGGGAATGGAGATCCATGTGGCAGCAAAGACATAGGGGTTACTGATTATCAGAAACTATGGAAGTGCCTGACAAAGGTCACATAGGAATGAGGGCTTCTCCCCCTAAAAGGATGGTGAGATCAATAGTCCAACTGAAGTGCATCTACACCAGGTCACACAGCATGGGCAGCAAACAGGAGGAGCAACAAACATTACACAGCTGGAAAACTATGATATAATTACCATCATGGAGACATGGTGGGATGACTCACAAAACTGGAATGCTGCAATGGATGGTTATAAACTCTTCAGAAGGGACAGGCAAGACAGGAGAGGCAGTGAGGAAGCCCTGCGCCTTAGGGAGTGTTTTGACTGTCTAGAGCTTGGTGATGGTGATGGTGATGAAAGGCTCGAGTGTTTATGGGTAAGGATCAGGAGGAAGGTCAACAGGGCAGATATCCTGGTGGGAGTCTGTTACAGACCACCCAACCAGGATGAAATATTCTATAAGCAGCTGAGAGAAGTCTCATGATCACTGGTCCTTGTTTTCATGGGGGCCTTCAACTTACCAGATGTCAGCTGAAAATACAACACAGCAGAGAGGAAACAGTCCAGGAGGTTCCTGGAGTGTGCAAAACATAACTTCTTGACACAGTGAGTGAGGGAGCCAACTAGGGAACTGCCACCTTGGAGTTCCAGATGACAGACTTTGGCCTGTTTAGGGGGCTGGTTGACAGAGTCCCTTGGGAGGAAGCCCTGAAGGGCAAAGGGGTCCAGGAAACAGTTACTGACCTCCTATGCCACTTAAATACTCACAATTCTATGGGGCCAGATGGGATCCACTCAAGGATACTGAGGGAGTTGGCAGAGGAGCTTGCCAAGCCACTTTCAAACATTTAACAGCAGTCCTGGTTAACTAGGGAGGTCCCAGGTGACTGGAGATGAGTAAATGTGATGTCCATCTGCAAGGTTGGCCAAAAGGAGAATCTGGGGAACTACAGGCCTGTCAGCCTGACCTTGGTGCCAGGAAAGGTCATGGAGCAGATCACCTGGAGTGCCATCATTCAACAGGTACAGGACAACCAGGGGATCAGGCCCAGCCAGCATGGGTTAAGGAAAGGCAGGTCCTGCTTGACCAACCTCATTTTCTTCTATGACAAGGTGATCCACCTAGTGGATGAGGGAAATACTGTGGATATTGTTTACCTGGACTTCAGGAAAGCCTTTGACACATCTCCCACAACATTGTCCTGGAAAAGCTGGCAGCCCATAGCTTGGATGGGAATACTCTTTGTTGGGTAAAAACCTGACTGGATGGCTGGGCCCAGAGAGTGAGGTTAATGGAGCTACATCCAGCTGTGGCCGGTCACAAGTGGAGTTCTGGCTCAGTATTTGGGCTGGTTCTGTTTAATATCTTTACCGATGTCATGGGTTTGAAAAGAGATGTTGGAAATTTTTTCCCATGTCGCTCCCCTCCCTCCCCCCACCCGTTTCTTCCAGGATGGGGGTGGAGGCAGAGCGGACCCACACATGTGGGGCAGTGCAGGAGCCGGGAGAGGGGGAGGTCTCGCGGGAAAGCACAGTGGCAGTGGGGATAGCTGGGAAGTCCTTTTCGGGGGCTTGTGGGGGTTTTGGTCTGGGACCGGACAGAGCAGAAGCCCGGTTTTTGGCCACCTCATTCTCTTTTCCTGAGAGGAAATTTCTTTTTCCCCACGGGACACCTTGCAGAGGACAACTGAGAGAGAGAGAACAACCCATCTCAGAGTGAGGTATTCTGCTTTCAAGACTGTCTGGAGGAAAAGGACTTGTTTTTTTGGTTTTTTTCATTGCTGGCTGCCAGCACATGTGGCTGCAAGCAGCTTCTGAATTGCCGGGACAGTCCTGCCTCTCCCCCACCCCTCCCTGTGTTGCTGAGGGTTCGTCCCCCCCACCTGGGGATTTGGGACTTTGTTTTGTTTCTTCTGAAAGTTGTTGATTGCATCATTTATTGTTTATTTAGCTTTTGTTAATAAAAAGTTGTTTCTTTTCCACACTTCCACCTGAAGTCTCTTCATTTTTAAGTTGTAATCTTGTTAAACTAAGACAACCGATGATCTTGACGAGGGGATTGACTGCACCCTCAGCAAGTTTGCAGACCACGCCAAGTTGAGCTGGAAAAGGAGGTTGTAGACAAGTGGGGGTTAATCTCTTCTCCCAAGCAACAAGTAATAGAACAAGAGGAAACAGCCTCAAGTTGCACCAGAGAAGGTTTAGATTGAATATTAGGAAAAAGGGGTGTCAAGCATTGGAACACACTGCCCAGGGAAGTGGTAAAGTCACCACCCCTGGAGGGATTTAAAGGCATGTAGATGTGGCGCTTAGGGACATGGTTTAGTGGTGGACTTGGCAATGTTAGTTTTACAGTTGATTATCTTAAAAGGTCTTTTCCAGTATAAATGGATCTATGATTCTAAGAAAGTTCCTCAGCATGGTTAAGACCAACACTGAGTTTTAGTATTTTCAAAATCCTGTGTGGAACAATTTCTTTAAATTTCAGGCTCCTAGCTCTCACTGCTCTTACACAGGCAGCAGAGTAACTGCCTACTAAGTCCTATAAAGGCTCTGTAAACACAGTTAGGAACTACTGCAGCCACCATCTGCATCCAACAATAATGAACAGCTCTGCTGCCCCTAGGCAGACATGCACTTCTAGTTCACAATATAGGAAGAAGACCAAGACATGGTGAAGTAGGAAGACCATGATTAGGTTGACAGCATTGCACACAGGGGAAACTGAGGTTCCACTTTGTACTTCCTGGAAGTGAAGATTCAAGATTTGGATGTGTGCAAGGGGAAAGGATGTGGCTGAAGTGAAAAATGGGAGTAAACTTCTGCAGGTGCATGAATGGATGAGGAAGGTGAGTATGAGCATTGGCCTGCAATCCTAGCTTGGAAGACAGGAACATCCAGTAGGAAAGTTGGGAGAAGAAAAGCCATAGATGAGGCTCTGGTTTTGTGTGCTTAGAAAAACATGTGACCCTGGATGCCAGAAGTTACAGATGATCATATACCTACTAAATAGGCTTGGAAGCCCCTGGTCTGTGCTACTTCACCATAATTTTTGCAAGTGTTTCCTTTTCAGGTTCTAACAGAGTAACAGTTTTCTTCCATCTTTGTACCTACTCACCTACTATCTATTTTCTATTCTCCAAAAAACATTTTATCTTGCCTTTTCCTCTGCCTTTATATTTAGCATGGATCAATTATTTAAATTAATGCCCTTAATGGCAACTTCTTCATAAGCAGCACATCTTGAATGTTTAAGGGATTTCACAATGGCTTGTAGAAAATGTTATATAAAATTAAATTTTAACCCTGTTTTTGCAGGACCATAATTATCCTTTTGCATGATATTGCTTTGAGTATAAGCTAACTAGATATTTTCACAGAATCACAGAATGGGTCAGGTCAGAAGGGACCACAGTGAGTCATCCGATCCAACCTCCCTGGTCAAGCAGGGCCATCCTAGAGCACATTGTACATGATTATGTACAGACAGTTCTTGAACATCTCCAGTGAGGGAGACTGCTCAACTTCTCTGGGCAATCTGTTTCAGTGCTCGGTCTTCCTCAAGAAGAATTTAGAAGAAATACATTCTAAAGTAATACTGATCATATAGAAACTATTCTTCACAATTGTGAGCAGCTTTCCTCCATCCTCTCACATATAACTCCAAAATAACTACAGTTCGCACAGCAGATGCAAAGCGAGGACTTTTAGAAACAGACCATAAACTTATTTTTAAACATAGATGAGACTCTCGATTAGAAACATAGGTTCAGTTTCCAATTCTACCAAAGGCTCCTTGTATGATCTTGGGCATGCAATTATTTTTTCTGTTTAAATACATACTGAAGGGACACAACTTTTTGTTCAATAAGTGTTATAAGGATTGAACAATATCTATGAAGTATCAAATACCACATTAAGGACTACTTAAACAGCCAAGAAGGCAAGTAAACAAATTATGAACCTGTGGTGGCCAGAATGCATAGCAGAACAAGCCTCACCGTAGGAGGATCTCTTGGGTAATGAGCATAAATTCAAGGGAGTGGAATTGCTACCTTTGCAGCAAGGAGATAAAGAGTTTGAAGACTGAGCAAACCATTTATACCAGCCCCAAAAGGCGTTTGTGTCCATTGTACAGTCACTCCACAAAGGCTTTACAAGTTCCATCAGCTATTTCCATTGAGCACCTAAATTAACAAGCTCCCCAAGGAAGCAAACAAACAAAAGTACAAGACAAACACGGAATTTCACTCCTCTCGAATATTTCTTAGAAAAAAAAATTAAAACCCACCTAGCCAGATCTGGACAGCAGGAACCCTATACATCCCAGAAAAAAAGGCAGGAAATATGGCCACTTTCTTATATTCCCCAGGTGACTCACTTTCCAGCTCGCTGCAATGGCAGAGTTTGCGGCAAGGCTGCGGGGACAGTGCCAGCTGTAGCAGTAGGAGGAGCCGAGGGAGCTGGAGAGGTGGGCGGGTGCCCGCTCCTCCGACCGCGATTCCTCATGCCTCGGACGCCCCTTGTGCTGCGCCCTCCCCCGCCCCATCCATCCATCCATCCATCCATCCATCCATCGGCACGAGACGGCAGAGACCGCGAACGACAGCGGGAAGAGAGGAGGCAGCCCACGGCCGAGCCCGCATGACTCCCCTCCCAGCGGCGACGCGAAAACCCATAAAGGCAGCCGGGCCCCGACCCCGGCCCCGGCCCCCAGGCATGCAGGCAGCAGCTGCCGGAAATGGGACGTCTCAGCCCGCCCCTCGCAGCCTGAACACCTACCCACAACATCCCAAACCCCGACGGCAGAGAAGTGACGAGGGAGCGAAGCAGCCCGTCCTCTCCCTCCGCAGCTCAGTGCCCAAAGCCGCTACAGTTTCTGAAATGGCTGAACAAAGAGAACCTCACTCCGTTGCCACCACCCCTCCGATTGGCCGGAGGGGGAAGGCGGGGCTCTGCGCGCGGAGGGCGCCACTGGCCGGTCACCCTGGCAACGGCGGCATAGTTTGGGGTCCATGGCTTCGGATGTGATAGAGATGGCAGTGAAATGGCCGCCCGGCCCTACTCAGGCTTTCAGCCCCGGGCCCCGCCCTCGGCCTATCCCGGGCTTCCATGGACAGGGTCGCTTCTCCCTGCCGGTCCCCTGCTTCCAATTGGCTCGCTGCTGGAGACACATGCACACAGGCCTCATGGACAGGTATTGCCTCATACCTTGGGATTGGGCACCCACACTCAGTCCCCTTTCTCCTAACCTGCCGCCAACTCTCTCAAAGAGACACTAGTGTGACCACTTGGGCAGAACATACCTGTTGCAAAATGTGAAATATGCAAAATTTTCTTAAGAAAGGATGTTCTTTGATGTTTGGTCTTTGTATACTTTCAAGTTTAATCAACAAGAAGGGAGATTTAATCCGTGAAATGGATAGCAGCTAACAAGCTCTAAGTGATGTCCAGGTGTTAGAAAAACAAATAACTTGTTGGTAGAATTGCTTTGTTAAGGGCTTGACATGCTTCAATGATCTCAGACCTAGGGGGAGGTTAATAAAGCTTGAGAAGAAGGATGCCCACTGATAGTGGACACAAAGAATGCAGAATTTATGGGCCACAAGGACATCTTGTGCAACTGTGCTGTAATCAGCTCCAACTGGGTAGAAGGTAATTCTGGCAGGGGGAGATCACGACCACCGACTCATGGACCACTGACCCAAGAAACCCACCGACCCAAAAGAAGAGGAAGACTGAGTATGCTGACTAATTAGCATGGGAAGTGAGAGAATCATTAACCAATAGAAGATGGAAAACTAATTAATAAGAGAACTATGTAACTTGTAGCTAATGGGCACTAATTTCTTTGTTTGCTAAAATGTATAAATAGTAAAAAGTTTTGATAGTTTGTGTGCTTGATTTGTGGAATACCACCAGACACCCAGGCTTGTGCAACTCTGAAATAAATAATCAATGTCTCTCTTAAGTGTGTAATTATTGGCTTGTTGCACACCGGGTAACAAATACAATTCTTGTAGAGAACATACCCACCCATGAGGAGTTCTCTTACCTCCTCAGCAGTACCTATACCTCAGATCCACCAGCACAAATGGACCCCTCACATGTGCCCTTCCCTCGGGGCACTGCCAGGCTCCCCATATACTCTAAACAGATCCCTGACTGAAATGGAGAGAAAAACTGTGCCTGAGGACTAATTAGTATGAGAAGTGAGAGATACAACTAGCAAATAGGGAGTTGAGTACTAATTAATAGAAAAAGTTATACAATCTGTAACCAATGAATGCTGATGCCTTTGTTTGTTAAATAGAATCACAGAATATGTTGAGTACTTAAATGGGTTCCTCTGCTTCTGTAGAAATTCCCTTTTACTCTCCCCTCGGATGCATCCTAAAGAATTGGAGTAAATTTGGGGTTAATCCTATGACTCAAGATAAATTGAAAAGGTATTGTAATCAATGGTGGCCTCAATATGAATTAGATGATGGTAAAAAAATGCCTGAAAATGGGTCTTTGAAATATAATATGATTATACAGTTGAGGTTTTTTTGTAGGGGGCAAGAAAAATGGGCTGAAGTCCCTTATGTATATTTTCTTTTAAAGTGATAATTGGGATGTAAGAAAAAAAATGTGGTTTAGTAGATCCAAAGTATCAAAATGGGATATATTCCTTGGTTAATAGAAAAAAGGACAAAAGATGAAGGTGTCAAGATTCTTGGGTTATGGGATGAAAAGATGAAAATGACCAAAACTTCAAAGAGGAAGTTCAATTATTGGCAGATCCTCCAAAGTGAGGTTCAAAACAGGAGGTGGACAATGAATCTAGCAATGAAGAAGTTGTTGGTTTTGATGCAAGTCCTCTTTCTAGTAGAACCAGAAGAAAAGATAAGTTGGTATTACAAGCACCATTAAGGCAGGGAGTCAGACTTGAAGGGGGGACATTGTATGTGCATGAACCTTTCACAACTTCAGACTTACCGAACTGGAAGCAGCAAGCAGAGTTGTATTGTAGTAATCCTGATGGAATTTCCTTTCCCACACACTGGGAAAGGGAAGGGAGAGAGGAAAAGGGGCCAGGCAATTTCACTTTGGCTGGTCGAAAACTGCTCTGCCCAGTCCTTTCTCTCTCTCTCCCCCAGGGGAGCTCTGTGCTCAGGGAATGGGGAAAAAAGCAAAAAAAAAAAAAAAAAAAAAACCTCCAGGGGAGAAAAAAAACAACAGCTCCTATCTGATGAAGAATTCTGGCAGGTTCCCAACTGGCCAGCGGCTGAGAGCCGAGAGCAGCACACAGCCTCTCTGACATGTGCTGCAGCCCACAGCCCAGCCCACCAAAAACTCCTCCTCCCCCGCTGCCCAGGAGACGAGAGAAAAAAAAGGTAAACATTAGCCTTTCATCTGCCCCGTTTCCTAGGAGACTAATCTCTCAGCCATTAGCCAGGCCAGCTAGTTCTTTGTATCTCTCAAGTGTTCACTTGATAGCTCTGAAGCAGGGGCAGGGGGAAGGGGAAAAATTCCTGGAAAGGTTTCCCAGAACTAACCAAACCATGACACACACGTAGAATCTCTCTCGAGGAGAAAAGACAACGCAGAAGGAATCGCAGAAGGAATCGCATCTTGTCAATATCACCAAGGGAGTTTTTCCGCTGTGCCTTCTGCAACCGGACTTGTCTATCTCGCATTGGCCTTTTTAGCCATCAGTGCACTTGTAGCAAGTGTGGGTAGAGCCCTTCTCAAATCTTCGTTCGCAAAGCCTAGACATGATGATGATGACTGCCATGCTGGCAAGGAATTTGGGGGTGCATGGGAGGTTGGGAGGAAACACAGCTGGGACAGGTGACCCAAACTGACCAAGGGGATATTCAATACTGTTGGGAGGAAACACAGCTGGGACAGGTGACCCAAACTGACCAAGGGGATATTCCATACTGTTGGGAGGAAAGGGTTAAAAGTGGAAGATTGGGTTCGAAGGATGATAGATTCACTGAAAGTGACCTTGCAGCTGGGCAACCATATATTATGCGTACTGCTGTTTATCCTCTGTCTGTTTTGAGAAGTAGAATTTCTGTGTAGAGAGGACATAGGTGTTTACAGAGACTTGGAGATGCTCTTACAGACATGCTCAAGTTCCCTGTTGGGAGAGAGATCAAAGCACAGAGGAGATCACAGCATGGTGGTAAACCACGTGTGCATGGGCCCTTGATAAATGGGTGCAAACAACATCCTCGTAGCCCTAGGATTGGACTAAGCCTAACGGTGCCTGGGTTCCCATTTTGTGTGTCTCTGCAGCCTGGCGGTGTCTCAGGATCCTTCAGTTAGCAAGGTAATCAAATAAATCTACTCTTTGCATTTCAGCTGTGTTTTGGTGGTCACTGGTTACCTGCAAATATTCAATTCACACACATAACATATGACATCATGCTCAGTATATAAAGTAGGAGGAAGAAGGAGGAAGAGAGGGACATTTGGAGTAATGGCATTTGTCTTCCTGAGTAAACGTTATGTGTGATGATGCCCTGCTCTCCTGGGGATGGCTAAACACCTGCCTGCCCATGGGAAGCAGTGAATTAATTCCTTGTTTTGCTTTGTGAGCACGGCTTTTACTTTCCCTATTCAACTGTCTTTATCTCAACCCATGAGTTTTCTAGCTTTTACCCTTCCAATTCTCTCCCCAATCCCACTGGTGGGGGAGGGAGTGAGCAGTTGCGTGATGCTTGGCTGCTGTCTGGGGTTAAATGAAGATAGGAAGGGCACTGGAAAAAGGAGTGCCCCCAACTTGCAAATGAAGAAAAGGGAGAATTAAAAGAGACAGGAATTATGGCAGAAATTGGGCTGAATTGAAGGAGATCGGAGGCATCACTTATTTCCCTGGCTGTTCCTCTGGTTCCAATTAAGCTTTGGAATGAAACAATAGATTTTTTCTAGTGGATACTGGAACAAATAATTCTGTAGTTACTAGCTGTAAGGGATCTTTAAGAAAAACAAAAGTAAATGTTGTTGGTGCGATGGGAAGGAAATACCTCAGACTGTTTTTACAACCAATGAAATTCACAATTGGAAACACAAAATTAAAAAATCAGTTTCTCTGTATGCTGGACTGTCCTTTGCCATTGCTTGAATAGGATTTGCTATTCAAATTAAATGCACAATTGACTTTTTCTGAAGACTCTGTCCAGTTGCGTATTCCTCCAGAAAATGCATGGAAAGTGCAGATCTGCCTACTTACCATAGAAAAACCTGCAGAAAGAAAAATCCCCAATGAAGTTTTAGATGCAGTTATACCATTGGTTTGGGCAATGGGAATTCCAGGACAAGCAAGAAACATGAGTCTGGTAAAAACTGAACTGAAACCAGAAGTCCGACCAGTAAGGAGAAAACATACCACATAAAATTAGAGGCATGACAAGGATTGGAACCATTAATAAAGTCTTTCTTAGGGTTCAGGTTATTAAGGGAATGCCAATCAGAATTTAACACCCCAGTCCTCCCAGTGAAAAAGCCTAAATCATAGGAATATAGACTGGTGCAAGACTTACAGGAAGTTAATGCCCAGGTAGCTGATGTCCTTTTGGTAGTCCTAAATCCCTATACCCTTCTTGTCTCAATACCAGAGACTAATATGTACTTTGTTAGATTTGAAACATGCCTTCTTTTGTATACCTGTGGACGAATTGTCTTTGCCTTTGAATGGGAAAATCCAACTACAGGATGGAAGATGCAGCTCTGCTGGACTGTTCTCCCACAAGGATTCAAGAACAGTCCTGTGATATTCAATAATATCCTGCAAAGGACCTGGAAGAGTGGCATTGTGAGTATGAAACCTTTTCAATATTACAGTATGTAGATGACATGCTGATTGGATCAGACACTCAGGAAGAATATTTGGAAGTGACAATAAGCCAGCTCAACTTTTTAGGATTGGCAGGATA